AACAATTATAGACCAATATCAAACCTACCCATACTATGAAAAATATTTGAAAAAATTATCTACAAACAGCTTTACTCCTACCTCGTAAAATTTGACATTCTTAGCCCCTGTCAGTTTGGCTTCCGCTCCCAAAAGAGTACCAACGATGCAATTATTAGTCTCCTTGATATAATTTACTCAGCCCTTGACAAAAATGAGTTTCCGATTGGACTCTTCATTGACCTGAGAAAGGCCTTTGATACTGTTAATCACAATTACCTCTTACGTAAACTCCATCATTATGGAATTCGAGGCCATACACTGGACTATATTCAATCCTATCTTAGTGATAGACACCAATGTGTAGCCATCAATAATATAACCTCTCCCACTCTACCAATAACCGTTGGAGTGTCACAGGGCAGCATCTTGGGACCTCTCTTATTTCTTATTTACATCAATGATCTGCCTAACGTCTCTAACATTCTGAAACCTATTTTGTTTGCTGATGATACTACCCTCATCTACTCTAACCCCAACCCACATACACTAAATAATGTTGTTAATAATGAACTAAAAAAAGTCCACTTATGGATGTCAACCAACAAACTAACACTTAACATAGAAAAGACCTACTACATCTTATTTGGAAGTAAATCTACAAATGCAATTCAACTTCAGATAGACAATGTAAACATTAGCAATAAAAATGATGGAAAGTTTCTTGGCCTATTCCTAGACAAGAGACTCAACTTCAGTACCCACATACAACACATAACTAAGAAAGTCTCTAAAACAGTTGGTATACTCTCCAAAATCAGATATTATGTACCTAACTCTGCTCTCATCTCTCTATATTATGCACTAATCTATCCCTATCTTAATTATGGTATCTGTGCATGGGGTTCAACCACTGCAAACCACCTTAAGTCCATCATTACCCAGCAAAAATCTGCTATCAGAATAATAACAAATTCTGCTTTCAGACAACACTCAGCCCCCTTGTTTAACTCCCTAAACATGCTAAACATAATCTCACTCCACAAATTCTCCTGTGTCAACTACATTTACAAAACCCTGTTCTTAAATGCAAATCCTGCTCTGAAACTCTCCCTGGACAGATGTAATAGGACCCATTATCCAACCCGTTCTCGCAAATTTAATAAGTCAATATTGACTTATTAAATATGTGCATAGGTGACATACTTAACATAATAGATACCCTTAAAAAGATTCATAGAAAACACCGACCTTACCTAACCTACTTAGTATGTTAAGATAAGCATCTTATTGCTTCGTAATTACAATTATTACCTAACCTATAATAGGTATAGGTTAAGTAATAATTGTAATTACGAAGCAATAAGTTGCTTATCTTAAGATACTAACAAGGTTAGGTAAGGTCGGTGTTTTCTATGAATCTTTTTAAGGGTATCTATTATGTTTAGTATATCACCTATGCACGTAGTTAATAAGTCAATATTGACTTTACGAATTTGCGAGAACGGGTTGCATTATCACCACACCAGAAATAAATATCTCTTTGATATCCCCAGAGTCAAACTTAATCTGTGTAAACACTATGCAAATAAATGGACCCAGTCTATGGAACTCACTCCCTATTGAATTGAAAAGCTGTCCAACTTTTGCATCATTCAAAAACAATACTAAAAAGTACCTAATTTCATCTTCATAGTTTTTTACTTTTTGCTTTAAAACTGCACTGTATCTATTGCTACCCAATCTCCCAATCTTTATGTACCCAATCTGAACATCTTTATCATTGCGATCATTGCTGTCTTCTTATATGTATGTATATATATATGTCGTACCTAGTAGCCAGAACGCACTTCTCAGCCTACTATGCAAGGCCCAATTTGCCTAATAAGCCAAGTTTTCCTTAATTAATATATTTTCTCTAATTTTTTTCTTATGAAATGATAAAGCTACCCATTTCATTATGTATGAGGTCAATTTTTTTTTATTGGAGTTAAAATTAACGTAGATATATGACCGAACCTAACCAACCCTACCTAACCTAACCTAACCTATCTTTATAGGTTAGGTTAGGTTAGGTAGCCGAAAAAGTTAGGTTAGGTTAGGTAGGTTAGGTAGTCGAAAAAACATTAATTAATGAAAACTAGGCTTATTAGGCAAATCGGGCCTTGCATAGTAGGCTGAGAAGTGCGTTCTGGCTACTAGGTACGACATATATATATATATATATATATATATATATATATATATATATATATATATATATATATATATATATATGTCGTACCTAGTAGCCAGAACTCACTTCTCAGCCTACTATTCAAGGCCCGATTTGCCTAATAAGCCAAGTTTTCCTGAATTAATATATTTTTTCAAATTTTTTTCTTATGAAATGATAAAGCTACCCTTTTCTCTACCTATGAGGTCAATTTTTTTTTATTGGAGTTAAATTAACGTAGATATATGACCGAACCTAACCCACCCTACCTAACCTAACCTAACCTATATTTATAGGTAAGGTTAGGTTAGGTAGCATAAAAAAAGCTAGGTTAGGTTAGGTTAGGTAGGTTAGGTAGACGAAAAACATTAATTCATGAAAACTTGGCTTATTAGGCAAATCGGGCCTTGCATAGTAGGCTGAGAAGTGCGTTCTGGCTACTAGGTACGACATATATATATATATATATATATATATATATATATATATATATATATATATATATATATATATTGTATCTAGTAGTCAGAATGCAGTACTCGGCCTACTATGCAAGGTCCGATTTGCCTAATAAGCCAAGTTTTCCTGAATTTATATATTTTTCTAATTTTTTTTCTTATGAAATGATAATGCTATCCATTTCATTATGTTTCATATCATTTTGTTTAATTTGAGTTAAAACTAATGTAGAAATATGACCGAACCTAACCAACCCTACCTAACTTAACTTAACCTAGCCTAAAATAATATAATTAAGTCAATAAATTATGTTCCTAGTATAATATAATAATAATAATTCAAATAAACCAATTGAAAATGATATATGGAAAATATAGAAAATCACTCGGCTTATTAGGCAAATCGGGCCTTGCATAATAGGCTGAGAAGTGCGTTCTGGCTACTAGGTACGACATATATATATATATATATATATATATATATATATATATATATATATATATATATATATATATATATATATATGTCGTACCTAGTAGCCAGAACTCACTTCTCAGCCAACTATGCAAGGCCCGATTTGCCTAATGAGCCAAGTTTTCCTGAATTAATATATTTTCTCTAATTTTTTTCTTATAATGATAAAGCTACCCATTTTATTATGTATGAGGTCAAATTTTTTTTATTGGAGTTAAAATTAACGTAGATATATGACCGAACCTAACCAACCCTCCCTAACCTAACCTAACCTATCTTTATAGGTTAGGTTAGGTTAGGTAGCCAAAAAGTTAGGTTAGGTTAGGTTAGGTAGGTTAGGTAGTCAAAAAACAATTAATTCATGAAAACTTGGCTTATTAGGCAAATCGGGCCCTGCATAGTAGGCTGAGAAGTGCGTTCTGGCTACTAGGTACGACATATATATATATATATATATATATATATATATATATATATATATATATATATATATATATATATATATATATATATATATATATATATTTGTCCACGGATCGCTAGTATGTTAATAAGCAAACTAGATATTTCTCTAGACGATTTCTAATATTACATTATTTATCATTAATTCGACATTTATTGAACATTTATGATAGAACTATCTCTAGTTTTTTCACACTCCATAACAGTGATGTAGGGTGTGCGAATAGTTTTGCGGAGTTTACATTTGGTCAGGTCTACATCTGCCCAAAAATACATATAAAGGAGCCTAACCCGAACAGTAGTAACATATCTAGGAAGCTGCTGATTTTATTGGATGATGGAGTGCGAAAAGATACGCGAATTCAGAGACAATTCTATAACCAATGTTCCAACGATGTGTAAATATTTAATTCAAAATGATCTGCTACCAGAAATTTTAGCCAAATATTCCCAGTTTACTAACTGTTGGATAGTAACTAAGAGTGATTGTAACCTATCCACCGCTGCCCACTGGATGGGGGGCGGTGTGCAGGACAAACATAGCAATTGTGACACTAGCTCTCCACATGTCAGTTGCTTAATTTAGAAACTGTATTTGTGATCGATCTCGACCCTATTTATGATGTGACGATTTATACTGAATTTTGTAACTAGCTCATCAAGATTGTAACTTGCTTAGCTAAATGAATTGTGGGGTTAAGTCCCTGAGTCCATTATGTGCCTCTGTAACCCTTTCCACTACCACCCACAAGATGGGTATGGGGTGCATAATAAATGAACTAAACTGTAACTGATTCATTAATGTCTCTTGAGTCTAGAGAGGAGTAAGAAATATATTATGATGGTAAGCATTTAAACTAGATCAAGAGAGTAGTTCAAGTTGATTGGTGCGTGAGCAAGTGACCTTCGTGCATCAGGAGCCAATAACAAGAGTGTGGCGTCATCATAGTGATGCAGACATACGTGTAGGTGCACACTACATAATTCTTCACGTTACGCTCAAGGTGACACCAACACTGTACAATTTGGGCATTACTTATCATGTCTTCTGAGGTATCTATATAACCTATTCGTGTACATTTATTAATTGCTTCGAAAATATAAATCTGAACGTAACATTATAAAAGGTTAAGGGTGCTTAAATCAGTCGTAACTCTGGGTAACTTGTGTTAAAGTTCCAGAATAAGGTTGGTGTACTGTATTATATGTAGGAGTTGGTTCAAGCAGCGCCCGTTACTCTGAATGTGCTGGTGGGAGGAGCTACACTAGTGACGTCACGGGCTCCAACAAGGTGAGTGTGCACCAAAATCATTTCGTAACTCACACAACATCGTATTGTCTACGCCTCTACACACATTTAACGCCTCCAGTCTTCATCTTGCAGGCGAGAGGTTGCGTTTGTTCATTATCTATGACGTTCACAGTCACAAGTAACTGTTGTCTTCTACAGATCACGCCCTTTTGTTCTATCATTATTAATTATTAACACGCATCAAATATTTTATTGTGTTTGCAATTTAAAATCCAATAAATTACTAACCTCAAAGATCGTATTTATAATAAAGAATCTGTGAAAAAAGGGATAGATGTGGTGTAGAAGTGTAGGTAAGATAATAAGAGGTGGCAACGTGGCGTGGTCGGTGGTGGGAGTGTGAGTGAAGACCAGAGAGGTGTTGAGAGTGACTCAAGAGGCAGTGCCGGGAGGACACCCTACAACGGCAGGAGCCTCCGTCGCCTCCCTCTGCCAGTGATTGTTAGTGCCGGCGCGGGTGATGAGTGTCGTAGTGCAGTGGTGGGGAGAGTAAGGTGCCAGTGTCAAGTGGGCGGGGAGGCCAGAGCTGCCTGGAGAGGCTCTCCACCTGCACCTGTAGTAAGGATACACAACACTACCCTGCTTCACCCAGGTGTAATAAAGCCCACCACCAGCAAGGTGTAGTAAAGCTATACAACAATTCCCATCGCAAGCAGGGTGTAGTAAAGCTATGCAACAATACCCTGCGCAAACCAGGTATAGTAAAAAAATGCAACAATACCCTTCACAAGTCAGGTGTAGTAAAGCAATGCGACAACACCAAGCACGAGCCAGGTGTATTAAATTATGAAACAATACCCAAAATGAGCTACGTGTAGTAGAGCAACTTAACAATACCCAACACGAGCCAGGTGTAATAAGGCTATGTAACACTACCAAACACAAGCCAGATGTAGTAAAGTAACGCATCAATACCCAACACGAGCCAGGTGTAGGAAAGCAACACAACAACACCTAACAAGCCAGGTGTAGGAAAGCAACACAACAACACCTAACAAGCCAGGTGTAGGAAAGCAACACAACAACACCTAACAAGCCAGGTGTAGGAAAGCAACACAACAACACCAAACACGAGGCAAGTGTATTAAAGGAACACAATACCAAACTCGAGCCAGGTATAGTAAAGCAACACAACACCTAACTTGAGCCAGGTGTATTAAAACAACACAACAATACCAAACACGAGCCAGGTGTAGTAAAGCAGGGCAACAATACCCAGTACGAGCCAGGCGTAGTAAAGCAGGGCAACAATATCCAGTACGAGCCAGGTGTAGTAAAGCAGGGCAACAATACCCAGTACGAGCCAGGTGTAGTAAAGCAGGGCAACAATACCCAGTACGAGCCAGGTGTAGTAAAGCAGGGCAACAATATCCAGTACGAGCCAGGTGTAGTAAAGCAGGGCAACAATACCCAGTACGAGCCAGGTGTAGTAAAGCAGGGCAACAATATCCAGTACGAGCCAGGTGTAGTAAAGCAGGGCAACAATACCCAGTACGAGCCAGGTGTAGTAAAGCAGGGCAACAATACCCAGTACGAGCCAGGTGTAGTAAAGCAGGGCAACAATATCCAGTACGAGCCAGGTGTAGTAAAGCAGGGCAACAATACCCAGTACGAGCCAGGTGTAGTAAAGCAGGGCAACAATACCCAGTACGAGCCAGGTGTAGTAAAGCAGGGCAACAATACCCAATACGAGCCAGGTGTAGTAAAGCAGGACAACAATACCCAGTGTGAGCCAGGTGTAGCAGGGCAACACAACAATACCCAGTGTGAGCCAGGTGTAGCTAAGCAAGGCAACAATACCCAGCCGGAGCCAGGTGTAGCTAAGCAAGGCAACAATACCCAGCCGGAGCCAGGTGTAGCTAAGCAAGGCAACAATACCCAGTGTGAGCCAGGTGTAGCTAAGCAAGGCAACAATGCCCAGTGTGAGCCAGGTGTAGTAAAGCAACACAACAATACCCAGTGTGAGCCAGGTGTAGCGAAGCAACACAATACCCAGTGTGAGCCAGGTGTAGCTAAGCAAGGCAACAATACCCAGCCGGAGCCAGGTGTAGCTAAGCAAGGCAACAATACCCAGTGTGAGCCAGGTGTAGTAAAGCAACACAACAATACCCAGTGTGAGCCAGGTGTAGCTAAGCAAGGCAACAATACCCAGCGTGAGCCAGGTGTAGTAAAGCCATCCAGCAGTGGCGGGATGCGTGAGGTGCTGGAGATGGCTAAAGGCACTCCAGGAGAGGCGGCGGGCCTGAAAGGGTTCCTCAGTCTTCACGACCACCCGGACCTCAATGACATCTTCCACACTGGCAATATTGAGGATGATTACGATGTTGAAAAGGAACCTATTGCAAGGTCAGTCGCTAGTTTTGTCTTTTCCCTTTTCCCTTAAATTACACAACACACGCTAATTCATTACACAGTTTTAAATGTAAGTTTGATTAGAAAAACAAGAGAAGAGAGTTAATATGGCATTATTGTGTTGGTTGTAATACAATGAAACACATTTATGTAATCCCGTCGCTGCTCTTCATACGAACAACAACAACATTTATGTAAGTATCTTGGTAAGTACACACACACACACACACACACACACACACACACACACACACACACACACACACACACACACACACACACACACACACACACACACACACACACATCTAACGTTACTATGAAGGAGAAGAGAGAGGAAGCGTGATAAGATAGAATATTTTGGGAGGTATGACAGAATGGAAAAGGAGGAAAAGTTCGTAATTCATGCCAATAGAAAAACAGGGCATGAATGGAAGCTTAAGACTTAACAGATGAGTTATTGAGATGTTAAAAAGTTTTTTTATTAGCACACGAGTAGGGAAATTAGAATGAGCTTAACGAGTCAGTTGACGAAGCGAAGTACATTCATCATTTCATAAGTAGATTTGACAGAAAAATAGGTGAGGAATCATTGCTATATATTACCAGTGGCTGGAAAGGTAGGTCCCAAGAGCTATAGCCCCATGCTGCAGGTACATATAGGCGAGCTCACACCATCAACAATTTAAAAGTGTTATGACAGAGATTATAGGAATGATGCTACTATCATAGCTCACATCCTGTTATTACATAGCTAATGCAGCCTAACCTAACACTATATATAGTACTAGAAGGGGTATCAGGCGTTGTAGTAACTTTCCGGGGTTGACTCCGAAAGTTGTGCCGTTTAATTAAATGATGGAACTCTGAATAGACCTGGTGCATGTATCAACCTGGTGCATGTATCAACCTGGTGCATGTATCAACCTGGTGCATGTATCAACCTGGTGCATGTATCAACCTGGTGCATGTATCAACCTGGTACATGTATCAACCTGGTGCATGTATCAACCTGGTGCATGTATCAACCTGGTGCATGTATCAACCTGGTGCATGTATCAACTTGGTGCATGTATCAACCTGGTGCATGTATCAACCTGGTGCATGTATCAACCTGGTGCATGTATCAAACTGGTGCATGTATCAACCTGGTGCATGTATCAACCTGGTGCATGTATCAACCTGGTGCATGTATCAAACTGGTGCATGTATCAACCTGGTGCATGTATCAACCTGGTGCATGTATCAACCTGGTGCATGTATCAACATGGTGCATGTATCAACCTGGTGCATGTATCAACCTGGTGCTTGTATCAACCTGGTGCATGTATCAACCTGGTGCATGTATCAACCTGGTGCATGTATCAACCTGGTGCATGTATCAACCTGGTACATGTATCAACCTGGTGCATGTATCAACCTGGTGCATGTATCAACCTGGTGCATGTATCAACCTGGTGCATGTATCAACCTGGTGCATGTATCAACCTGGTGCATGTATCAACTTGGTGCATGTATCAACCTGGTGCATGTATCAACCTGGTGCATGTATCAACCTGGTGCATGTATCAACCTGGTGCATGTATCAACCTGGTGCATGTATCAACCTGGTGCATGTATCAACCTGGTGCATGTATCAACCTGGTGCATGTATCAACCTGGTGCATGTATCAACCTGGTGCATGTATCAACCTGGTGCATGTATCAACCTGGTGCATGTATCAACCTGGTGCATGTATCAACCTGGTGCATGTATCAACCTGGTGCATGTATCAACCTGGTGCATGTATCAACCTGGTGCATGTATCAAGCTGGTGCATGTATCAACCTGGTGCATGTATCAACCTGGTGCATGTATCAACCTGGTGCATGTATCAAACTGGTGCATGTATCAACCTGGTGCATGTATCAACCTGGTGCATGTATCAACCTGGTGCATGTATCAACCTGGTGCATGTATCAAACTGGTGCATGTATCAACCTGGTGCATGTATCAACCTGGTGCATGTATCAACCTGGTACATGTATCAACCTGGTGCATGTATCAAACTGGTGCATGTATCAACCTGGTGCATGTATCAACCTGGTGCATGTATCAACCTGGTGCATGTATCAAACTGGTGCATGTATCAACCTGGTGCATGTATCAACCTGGTGCATGTATCAACCTGGTGCATGTATCAACCTGGTGCATGTATCAACCTGGTGCTTGTATCAACCTGGTGCATGTATCAACCTGGTGCATGTATCAACCTGGTGCATGTATCAACCTGGTGCATGTATCAACCTGGTGCTTGTATCAACCTGGTGCATGTATCAACCTGGTGCATGTATCAACCTGGTGCATGTATCAACCTGGTGCATGTATCAACCTGGTGCATGTATCAACTTGGTGCATGTATCAACCTGGTGCATGTATCAACCTGGTGCATGTATCAACCTGGTGCATGTATCAACCTGGTGCATGTATCAACCTGGTGCATATATCAACCTGGTGCATGTATCAACCTGGTACATGTATCAACCTGGTGCATGTATCAACCTGGTGCATGTATCAACCTGGTGCATATATCAACCTGGTGCATGTATCAACATGGTGCATGTATCAACCTGGTGCATGTATCAACCTGGTGCATGTATCAACCTGGTGCATGTATCAACCTGGTGTATGTATCAACCTGGTGCATATATCAACCTGGTGCATGTATCAACCTGGTGCTTGTATCAACCTGGTGCATGTATCAACTTGGTGCATGTATCAACCTGGTGCATGTATCAACCTGGTGCATGTATCAACCTGGTGCATGTATCAACCTGGTGCATGTATCAACCTGGTGCATACATCAACCTGGTGCATGTATCAACCTGGTACATGTATCAACCTGGTGCATGTATCAACCTGGTGCATGTATCAACCTGGTGCATGTATCAACCTGGTGCATGTATCAACCTGGTGCATATATCAACCTGGTGCATATATCAACCTGGTACATGTATCAACATGGTGCATGTATCAACCTGGTGCATGTATCAACCTGGTGCATGTATCAACCTGGTGCATGTATCAACCTGGTGCATATATCAACCTGGTGCATATATCAACCTGGTGCATGTATCAACCTGGTGCATATATCAACCTGGTGCATGTATCAACATGGTGCATGTATCAACCTGGTGCATGTATCAACCTGGTGCATGTATCAACCTGGTGCATGTATCAACCTGGTGCATATATCAACCTGGTGCATGTATCAACCTGGTGCATGTATCAACCTGGCGCATGTATCAACCTGGTGCATGTATCAACCTGGTGCATGTATCAACCTGGTGCATGTATCAACCTGGTGCATATATCAACCTGGTGCATGTATGAACATGGTGCATGTATCAACATGGTGCATGTATCAACCTGGTGCATGTATCAACCTGGTGCATGTATCAACCTGGTGCATGTATCAACTTGGTGCATGTATCAACCTGGTGCATGTATCAACCTGGTGCATGTATCAACCTGGTGCATGTATCAACTTGGTGCATGTATCAACCTGGTGCATGTATCAACCTGGTGCATGTATCAACCTGGTGCATGTATCAACCTGGTGCATGTATCAACCTGGTGCATGTATCAACCTGGTGCATGTATCAACCTGGTGCATGTATCAACCTGGTGCATGTATCAACCTGGTGCATGTATCAACCTGGTGCATGTATCAAACTGGTGCATGTATCAACCTGGTGCATGTATCAACCTGGTGCATGTATCAACCTGGTGCATGTATCAACCTGGTGCATGTATCAACCTGGTGCATGTATCAACCTGGTGCATGTATCAACCTGGTGCTTGAGTTCACCCGGGCACCAAGTGGTTGTGCCACGGCAGACGACCCGACCTGCTGTATTACACTCCTTGCTCTAGTATACATATATACTCCAAGTTGGGTTATAATAATGAAATTCTAGGGACTCTACTAGCCACTTTCAAATTCACAGATTTCAAAGAGGTCGCCATGTGAACCACCAACCTTTTAGTGGAAGCAATGGGGCCGACCTCCCTCATGTTGGTCACCAACCGCTGTAATATATTGGGTAATGCTAGGCACAAGTCTGCCTGCAAAGTTGGGTGAGGCTAGCCCCAAGTGTCTGGCCTCCATCCATGGCCAAACAGATAAATACAAATACATTATCTCTTAAAGATATAGTTTAGCAATTAGAAAACAAGCTTTGTCGAAATATTTGACGATTTGACTGTGATGGAGTATATAAGCACATATATGCATAGACTTGCTATACTCATGTAGGAAAAAATATGTAAAATAAAACATATACATATAATATTTTTACATATATTATATGTAAAGAATACAATGCATGGACCCATAGTCACGTGGTAACACATGGATGCGCGAACACAATTGCACATGGGTTGTGCAGCTCGTCCTCTCGAGTTGTCACAACGGACAGAAAATGATGTACTAATTTTCCCGAACCTAACCTAACTTAACTTAACCGGCGACCCAAGCATAGAAAACCTAAACTTTTACCCAATGAAAAGTATCTGATGTGGTTACAGAAGTAAAAACTAGTTTCTGATGTGATGTATGCAATACAGTTGATTCTAGATGACAAGGAAAGGAAACTCCTAATAGAACGAAAGTGGAAGTTTGGGAAATTTGCAGATTGTAATACAAATAGATACACAGATTACATCACTGGGAATGTTAGCAGGTGGATAAAATAGTGGTTTTGCTTACTTCACTTTGAAATCCAGATGTTAAAAAGCCTCGATAAAATGGGAAGACCTTTGACAAATCCCTGGCTTCCCTATCCCCGTGAGAGTTACTAGATAGATGGTGGTCCTTAGGTAAATTCCGGTAATATACAAATAATTTGTAAAAGAATTACAAAATAATTTGTAATTATACAACAAAGAATTAACAACAAAAGACCCTAATACGAATACTAAGCCACCAACACAGTATACTGTATATTATATA